GGTTAGTTCATAATATTTGCTGAAACTTGAATGCTGGCTTTTCATGTTACAACAACAAGAGCAAATAGAGTTTGTAAAAGTTTTTCTTTATCACTTTCAGTTTATCAACTGAATTGCTTGAGGACAAGCAAAGGTTTAAGCTTGGGGGAGTTGATACATCTCCAACGTATCTACTTCTCTAAACACTTTTGCCCTTGTTTTGGACTCTAACTTGCATGATTTGAATGAAACTAACCCGAACTGATGCTGTTTTCAGCAGAACTGCCATGATGTTGTTTTATGTATAGAAAAGAAAAGTTCTCGGAATGTCCTGGAAATCCACGGAGGCACTTTTCAGAATTAATAAGAATTTTTGGCGAAAGAATGAAGGCCAGGGGGGCCACGGGCTGTCCACGAGACAGTGAGGCGCCCCCCCCCCTAGGGCGCGCCCTCCTATCTTGTGGGCCCCCTGGACACCTCCCAACCTCAACTCCAACTCCATATATACCATCTCGGGGAGAAAAAAATCAAGGAGAAAGTTTCATCGCGTTTCACGACACGGAGCCACCGCCAAGCCCTAATCTCTCTCGGGAGGGTTGAGTTGGAGTCCGTTCGGGGTTCCGGAGAGGGGGATTCATCGCCGTCGTCATCATCAATCATCCTCCATCACCAATTTCATGATGCTCACCGCCGTGCATGAGTAATTCCATCGTAGGCTTCCTGGACGGTGATGGGTTGGATGAGATTTACCATGTAATCAAGTTAGTTTTGTTAGGGTTTGATCCCTAGTATCCACTATGTTCTGAGATTGATGTTGCTATGACTTTGATATGCTTAATGCTTGTCACTAGGGCCCGAGTGCCATGATTTCAGATCTGAACCTATTATGTTTTCATGAATATATGTGTGTTCTTGATCCTATCTTGCAAGTCTATAGTCACCTATTATGTGTTATGATCCGACAACTCCGAAGTGACAATAATCAGGATACTTCTCGGTGATGACCGTAGTTTGAGGAGTTCATGTATTCACTATGTTTTAATGCTTTATTCTGGTTCTCTATTAAAAGGAGGCCTTAATATCCCTTAGTTTCCGCTAGGACCCCGCTGCCACGGGAGGGTAGGACAAAAGATGTCATGCAAGTTCTTTTCCATAAGCATGTATGACTATTTACGGAATACATGCCTACATTACATTGATGAACTGGAGCTAGTTCTATATCACCCTATGTTATAACTATTGCATGAGGAATCGCATCCGGCATAATTATCCATCATTGATCCATTGCCTACGAGCTTTTCACATATTGTTCTTCGCTTATTTACTTTTCTGTTGCTACTGTTACAACTACTACAAAAACCCAAAAACATTTATCTTTACTTTGCTACCGCTACTATTATTATCATACCACTTTTGCTACTAAACACTTTGCTGCAAATACTAAGTTATCCAGGTGTGGTTGAATTGACAACTCAACTGCTAATACTCAAGAATATTCTTTGGCTCCCCTTGTGTCGAATCAATAAATTTGGGTTGAATACTCTACCCTCAAAAGTTGTTGCGATCCCCTATACTTGTGGGTTATCATAAGTGAGCGTTGAAGTTTTGACCTTGGAAAGGAGGCGGAAAAAGAGGAAATGTGGTTGTTGGTTAGCAAGAGGAGGGAGGTAGATATTTCCGTGGATTCCAATTTTGCTCGGTGCGGCGAAAAACTGGCGCACAAAGTGTCATCAGACACGGTCACTTATTTAGCACTATGTATGATATCTGAACATCACAAACTATTCATATAGCTTACCCGGTGTGTGATGAGTTTGAACATGCAAATTTTGGTCTGAATTTCCCTGGTTATAGTGGTCATCCATGTCATTGCATAATTTGTGTACACAAAAGAGCTTACAGCACACCCGCACTTCTGAAACGAGCAAGTTCAGCAATTAAACAGAGCTAGTTGACCTAAACATTACTCTAACAAAAAACCGGCACTCTGAACAAACACTAATTTTCTACGTGGCGCTCGTCGATCTTCGCTGCCTCGTCCATGTCCAGCTCGTGCTCAACGATCTGTTTGGGAAGGGGCTCCATGGCATCCATCACAACATACTCGGCAAGCATCTGACCGTCCGCATTCTCCATCTCTTTGGAAAAGGCCACCACGAGCTGGGCGTGGCGGCCCCAGTCCAGGTGTAGACGGCCTCCATCTCGGCTAGGGATGCTGCGGACGAACGGACGGCTCCTTGAACGCTCTTGGTGACTGCCAACTCTTCGGACATGGGTTGCCGACCGTTATCGGAGAAGCTTCGTGCGTTTTTTGTGGTGACCGCCATGAGCTGGGCGTGGGCGGCCTCTACATGGGCGTGGGTGGCCTCTATCAAGGCTAAGGCGACCGCCATGAAACGAACAGCTGTTGTGCCGCTGTCGCCATTTGCTATCCTCATCGCAGATGTTGTTCTCGCCATCTGAGCTGTAGCAGCTGCCGCAACTACCTGGTTGTCGATCGCGGCAACACTCATGCAGGTTGTGAGCGCGCTCATGGCGGTTGCGGCCCCGCTCGGGCCGGAGTGGGCCCCCGAAGTTGCCCTCACGACGCGGATCCACGGACTCATCTTTGAACGGCAATGATTGAACAGTAAAATGAGATTGGGAGCGAGTGTGGTAGACGAGCCGATGGTGGACTGTAGCGGACGGAGCTTCCGACGCAAGCCATATATAATGAGGGGGAAGGGAAAGATATTTTATACTACATCGCACACGATTCATTCTAATAAACTTTGTGTGATGTACTTAATTTTTATTTTGATTTGAAAAACAAAATGGGGTTACATGGGCAAAGGACGGTGTTTGAATACCTAGAACATTTATCTGTAGTGAACATGCAACTATATATAGGAGTGTTGTGTTAAAATTTGGGTTATTCGGGGTTTGTTTAGACATTTGTATACACTAACTGAATTTTCTAGGCATTTAATGTGCATAATTCAAAATTAACTACAGGCACATGCTCTGGTGCACCGAAATAAGTTAAAAACCATATATATGTCCTTGGGTGCATGTTAGGTCTCATGCAAGAAATGAGAATGAATTTCGAACACCACGACATCATCGCTCAGCTACAAATATTGAGAAACTTGGTTTTTTAAAATTTTGTAAATCCAACTCGTATGAAATTCATGACACTTGACATGATATCATGAAATGACATAAACATATTGTGGTAAATTTTGTCCCATTTGAAGCAGGTTCTGGTACAAGCTTATCACAAATCAAAGCTTCTCACTAGAAGCCTCGTGATTCCGATATGAAAAGTGTCACCTTTGTAGACGAAACGACATTCGTTGTCTCTTCTTGCCTTGAATATTTTTTAGAGAAAACATAGACCAATAGGAGTGTCATGTTAAATATTAAAATTATTCAGGGTTTGTTTGGACATTTTGATACATTAACTGAGTTTTCTACGCATTTAATGTGTATAATTCAAATTTGAACTACATGCACATGCTCCAGTGCGGTTGAAAAAAATCATATATGTGTCCTTGGATGCATGTTTAGGTCTCATGCAAAAAATGGGAATGAATTTCAAACACCTCAACATCGTGGCTCGGCCGCAAACATTGAGAAACTTAATTTTTAAAATTTCTATAAATCCAAATATCGTCCGAAATTCATGAAACTTGGATGGTGTTATGAAATGACACCAACAAGAAGGCGCACGAATTAACAACCAACAAATGTATTTTGAAACAAACGCCCTCACGTTATCATCTCAAACATTTGTATTATTTAAATCGCGAGCGTTCTGCTAACCATTCATGTGACACTAGTCGTCACATTTTTATTTGGTAGGTGTCATGCGGGTAGCTGCTTGAGTAGTCACACTTTTATTGGGTAAGAGGTGTCATGTGGGTAGGAGGCGTGCCAACGCAGTCCGCTGCGCAGGCTCATAGGGAGGCATGCAAGTAGTCCTCCGCTATGCAAGCTCATCGGGAGGCATGCGAGCAATACGTCGTGCAGGCTCACTGGAAGCGAGCCCTTTGACCTCTATCACCGCCCACCTCGCTCCCAACTTCTCCATTGATACCGTCCGAGCCGCTATTTAATAGGCGGCCATACAACCGCTCATTCACAATCCTTTCTCTTCGCCTCCCATTCCCTCTCATCTGAATCCCATCTTTCAAACCTCCACCTATGCCATGGCGCACAAGGATAATATGCCACTAGTAACATTGCCATTTATCAACCTTTTTGACACTGCCCAATTGTCAAATTTTGCAGCTAAAAATCACTAGTGCTATTTTATTTTGCAACTGAAATTCACTAACCATAGATTTCATTCATAGATTAGGCAATCGTTCTTTATACAAATAATTTAACTTGACAGCTGAACCGAACAATTTTTTCTCCAATCGTTGCCAACCATATACTGAAATAGCTAGTTCAACTATACATATTAGCTAATTTTAAGTACGTAGCATCTACTGGGCTAGTAAAATAAAAAACATTACTGAGTAGTAGTGTCCTGTAAGTCACAAATTTAGAAATTAGCCATCTACTGGGCCACTGGAAAAAAATCTACCGGGTCCAATGGCACCACAATAGTTCTTGGTTTACTCCAGTGACATTATACCTTTTTTTGTAGTGTATTACAATGACATTATACCTTACTTCCACTTGCTGGTTTACAGTTTCGACCATGCAAGTTCCCAGATATAGCCATAACTATTTTTTCACACAAGTATCAATTGCTTGCACCAAACTACTTTCTATATAATTTGCATTAAGCAAACGGTGTTAGTCCAAGAAAATAGAAGGTCTTGTTCATATGTTCTTCCATTTCAATTCGACGAATTTGTTTCCACGGATCGCCAGAAGCAATCAGCAAGGAACAAAGATCCTAATCCCCCAACCCCTAAATTCACAGGCCCGCACATATATACAAAAGCAGAATTCGGGTAGAGGAACCAGATCATACATCAGGAAAGACGGGGCAGTAGGAGACTGAACCGTCCGACCGGGTCCCCACCTCAGCAGACTCTGGGGACGAAGCGCAGCGCCGCGACGCGAGCGGCGAGAAGCCCCGCGAGCCTCCTCACGGCAAACTGGGTGCAGTTGGAGAGCGCGATGAGGCACATGAGCTCGTAGATCACGCCGAGCGCCACCTCCGCCGCCGATCGGCGGGGCGCGGGGACGTCAGGCTCTGATGAGTCCCAGCCTTGACCAGATCCGGACCCGAAACCATGGTTCCACCCGCCGCCACCGCCGCCGCTCCCGCCACTGCCGGGTCCGAAAGGGCCCTCCCCGTCATCGCCGCCCGCGCCGGAGATGGTGTTGGAACGGCGGGTGCGCGCGCGGCGGCGGCGGACGGTGGCCGAGGCGGAGGCGGAGGCGCGGCGGCTGATGGTGGTGGTAGCGGAAGAGGTGGCGTGGGGGCGGAGGAGCACCGGCTTGGCTGGCGGGGAAGAGCCGGCGGTGGCCGTGGCGGCTGAGATCTCCATGGTTGGTGGCCGGCGGGCTAGGGTTGTGTGTGGAGGAAGGCACGCGATCGAAGGTTTTCCCGTGTTGTGACTGCAAGGCGACGCACGGACACGGAAGGAGGAGGGCGCACGGCCCGTCGGTGCCGAGGGTTCAACACTTCCACTGCTTGGGATCAGGCTCAGGATCGTTGACAGGGGTTCGTTCGCTGCGGTCCACGGATGGGCGAACGGCCAAAATGCTCCGGATGCTAACGTGCACAAGAACGCAATGTGTCACTATCTCTACCTAATTTTGCTCTAACTAATAAAGACACGTGCATTCATTAAGAGAAGATGTTCCCGTCGACTACAAAGATGTCTGTGACGATTTGATCAATCTCAGTATGATTAATATGCTGTGTCGGCTCCGTCACACAAAGGTCTCATACGGATATGATGTGCGTCTGTATGTTTGCGTCTGTATTGTATTCAAAAAATTAACCAAAAAATAAAGAGAGATGTGTTTCTCTGTTTTTTTATCCCTCCACCCATTGTTCTAAAAAAAGGATCCGTCAGTCCCCCTAAAAATTTTGTTTGTAGTTATTCAAAATGGTACTAAATTTTATTACCTTCATCCTAAGTTAATTTATGTGTTAGATACATTTATATCCAAAAAAGTATAAGACAATTAATTTGAGGCGAAGGGAGTATCAAACTAGCGATGTTTTTGTTCAATGGGCCACGAATGGCAATTTTATCCAAGCCGTCTTAAGTCTAGCCAGCCCATGCAGATGTATGTCATAGCAAATTAGAACTAGAAAGAGATCTCCTCTTCGGGAGCTCCTATAGGGCGCCTTCTGCGCCGCTTAATGTTCCTGGCGCTCGCGCGCGTCGCCTAGCGGGCCGGCCCAATAACCTCGCCAAAAAGAAAACGTGGTTGAAACATAATTTCGCCAAAAAGAAAACGTAGTAGAAACATAATTGCAGGTAGTGGGATTTGAACCAACGCACCTACATATACAGCCAAAAGAAACAGTGCAGTTACCACTACACTAGGACAGCTTACATGTCTATAATCCAAAAACAAACCTACATAATACTTCTTCTAGTACAACATTGACATAACTTCCGTACCATAAAAATCATTTCAGAAAAGGGAAACATAAAAAAGAAAAAGGAAATCATATATGTGTAATAAGAGTTCAATTTTAAAAAACATTCATGGAACTCGAAAAGGTTCATCAATTTTCTTAAAAAATACGAATTAGAAAAAAAAGTTAACCAATTCTGAAAAAAGTTCATCGAATTTGAAAAAATTAGTTCATCAATTCTGAATATAGTTCATCAAATTTCGAATATTCCTTTTCTTTTAAACGTGAACTATGTTCTTCAAAAACTGAACAATTTTTGAAATTTGAATACTTTTTTTGTACTGTGAACAATTTTTAGAAAGCAAATTTAGAATACACATTGAACATTTTCTTAGTATAGGGTGAACATTATACAAAGAAACACTAACCATTTTTTTAGAATACGCTGAACTTTTTTTGAGTAAATGCTGAACAAAATTTCTCTACACGATGAACATTTTTTATACACACTGAACATTTTTTTAATGTATGGCGAGCAATATTCAAATACACATAGAACTTTTTTTAAGTACGATGAACTCCTTTTGAGTGCACACTGAACAAAATTTCTAGACATGATGAACATTTTTTTATACACACTGAACATTTTTTCAATGTATGATGAACATTTTTCTTCAATATGGTGAACAAAAATTTCATAAAATTTGAAAAATTAGTTCATTGAATTTGAAAAAAAGTTCACGAAATTTTAAAAGTAATTCATCGAAATTCAAAAAAAGTTCATGGATTTCAAAAAAGTTGATCGTGTTTGATTTTTTTTATCAAATTTCAAAATAAAAGTTCATTGACTTTGATAAAAGTTCATCAACTTTGAAAAAAAAGTTCATCAAATTGAGAAAAAGTTCACAAATTTGAAGAGAATGTTCATGTATTTAGAAAAAAAATGAAAAATATATAAAAAGAACAAAAACAGTTCTAAGAAAAACGAAAAAATAAAAGAAAAAAACTAAACAAAACTCTTCCAAGAAAAAATTAAAAAACGAAAAAGAAAGAAGAAAGAAGAAAAGAAGTAAAAAACTGATGAGAGACGCAAAAGGTGCGGTGGCTGTGGTGGTTAGCGTAGTGTGCATATGACCAGGAAGTCACGGTTCGGTTCCCACTGTGTTCGTATTATTTTTGCTCCTTAATAAAGAGGAGGGAAAAAATGAAATGGGCCGGCCCGCATGGAGAAGGGGGTGTGCGCCGGTTTGCCCTAACACCTAAAACGGGCGCTTAAGGCGCCGTTTAGGAAATACCCTCCTCTTCAGTGCCCTCTGTGCCCGTTACCGCTACTGATGCCCGCGCACCATGCGTACTGGGCCGGCCCAACAAACACGATGAGGAGAAAAAAAGTTAGTCGGCTTGTACTGATAAAAACCCAATAGGCCAACTCATCTTATTGTCAATTAGGACAAAACAGTATGTGACTCTTCTTTAGTACAACATTAACATGTATGATATATACCCAGCTTATTATGCGTATTATATTATGATGAAAGTGAAAAAAGAATTCACAAAAAGTAAAACATGAACCTGAAGAAAGCTCACATATTTAAAAGGTTCATAAACACTAATTTTTTTATCGATTTTGAAAAAAGTTTGGAAAATTGAAAAAGTTCATCGATTTAGAAAAAAAGTTCATAAAATCTGAAAAGGTTGACGAATTTGAAAAAAGACATCAGTTTTGAAAAAACACAAAATAGAAAAAAAATCATTGATTTCCTAAAAAAGTTTATCAAATTTGAAAATTTTCATCGATTTTAAAAAATACTTCACAAATTACAAAATTTCATCGGATTTTCAAAAATGTTCATCAATTTTTAAAAAAGTTTATCATTTTCTAAAAAGAGTTCAAAAATTCAAAAAAACTTTAGGGATTTTGAAAAAGGTTCACGAATTTGGAAAAAGTTCACAAATTTGAAAAGGTTCACCAATTTGAAAAAGTTTTATAATTTTTTCACAAAATTCCTAAATTCACGAACAATATAGTATTCTTCATCTTCAACGACTAAGTAGTCATCATCTGTTGCAGTCATGGCTGAACTATTTTTATCCTTTTTCTTAGTTTTTTTGCATGTTTACCCTCTGCAATCTCTTTTTTAATTTCTACATTTTCTCTTCTTATGCCAGATTGCCTAAATAAAGCAATTGAATTTTTTTCTCTGTTTTGACTATAATCTTTCCCTAGATTTATCTCCACCTTGCTGGAATCTTGTGTGACTAGGTCCATGGTCAACCACATACACATCCGAAGAAGAGGCATCATTTTCACATTTCCCTTATTTCTGGCTTCTTCGTTCAACATATTGTTTTTCACTATCTCACGACAAGCGTGTTCCAGCTATCAAGCATGGAACTTAGCAGCAACAATGCATGTATCTCATCCTCAAAATTACCATTCGTTGCTGAGAGTTGATTTATACGGCATTGGAAGACACATTCAAGTGTTCAATCACATTGTTGCCATGTTGGTACTCAAGCTTGCAAGTATTTTGATTACGTGGGCCTTGTTCATTGATGTCTTCATCTCATTCATAGACTCCAATTTATGCCACATCTCATACGAATTTGTGACATTTGCAACATGGTGGAATATATTGTGGTTTGTGTAGACCATACCTATTGTCTTTCCATGTAGCACTCTTCATTCTTCTTCCGTGACACCAAAGGGTACCTTGTCTTTCACAATTGGTTCATAAAAATATGTGCAATAAATGTCGTCTTCCATCATGGGCTTCCATAGTGAGTAATTAGAAGAATCAAAATTTACCATGTCATTTGTCGTAGCACCCTCTTCCATAGCCATTGTGAGCAGCACTTCCAATAACAACCAAACAACTAAGATTAGCAAGCTCCTAAGAAACACTAAAGTTTTGATGCAACTCTGTTGGGAATTAGCACGCAAACACACTTATGATGAACTGAAAAATGTTGTGGAAACAAATTAATCTCTACACCACTTCATGTATTAATTCAGAGACGTTGCACAACATGGAAGGAAATATATGCAATAACATATATGTAGGAAATAGCCCTTGCAACCCTCTATACCCACCTCAGACAATCTCTGGAATCAGGGGAAACTCTTTGAATAACAACATAACATCAACACACAAAGACACAAGTTGGGGTAAAAAGCACATAAAAAATCTTGTATCTCTGTGTGCTCATGTTTTGTTGTTGTCCAAAGAAGTTCTCCTGACCCTAAAAATCATTTCACAAGCGCCTGGGGTGTTGCGAGAGCTATTTACACCCTATATGTTGATGCATATGTTTCCTTTCATACTAAGCAACAATCCTTATATTAGTGAATGAAGTGGTGCTGAGATTAGTTTCTTTCCGCTCCACTTTTTCAGTTCACCATAAGTGTGTTTGCATGCTAATTCCCAACAACATGGTAGAGGTTGGCGATGTCCAATCACGTCTTGGGCCTTTTTTTCTTCACATGCCCTTATAGGCGGGCCCCACTTGCAGGAATCAGCGTCAAACCGGCTAAACTTGATTGAGCTTATTGTTGGAAACTAGTTGACTACTTGTTGAGAACATGTTTACATCGACATACTTTGACTCCCATGGGTGAAGCAACGATTGTTTGGCTTGTTCGAAACCGCATGAAAACATTGTGAATGTGGCTGTCACATTATGGTCTACTTGGACAACATAGAGGAAGGTCATACACGAGGGTATTTTCCAAATCCCCTTCACTACAAAAAAAGACACATCCGTGACATTTTGGGCTGAACGAAATTTTTTTCTGTCATACATATGACACTTCTATGACGATAATTGTGACAAAACTCGGTATCATCATAGATGTGGTGTGCTCCTACTTCTATGACAAGAAATCATGACAAAAAATGGGCTTTTCGTCCTGGGCGGGCCGGAGACGCAGCTGCATGACATTCTTTGGGC